ATAACTGTCGCCCTTTGTCTCTCGAAACAAACTACGATCCCCTCCTTCAGCGACGAATACGACCCCCCCCCCTTGTGTAATACACGACGGATATTGTACTTTAGCTCCACTTCCTGAAAATCGACCCAAAATCAACACATTATCAAAGGAATCTGCCCTCCAACAGCAAAATCATACATACATGAGCATTACGTATTTATTATTAATTTAAGAACTATTTACAAACTCAGAAAAAAAGAAATCTACTGTCAACAAATTGATTCCATATTCAACAAGCTCACAACAGAAAAATCACCTAACCAAATGGAATTTTAGGAACAAAGTGTGGTAAATGTGAGCAGTAAAACAAACAAAAGCACAGACCACACTGGTCGTGCGAGCATGGTCAGGCCAGCAACCAGTGACAAAGATAGAATGGCCGGTCCGACTCCGCCCACATGGTCAAAGTGGACCCAGCCTTCAAGAACTTACAATAGTCTCTCGCTGCATCAAATGCGGCCACGTTACAGTGGTAGGGGAGCTATCGCAATAGGTTCGCTTCATCTATGTGGGCAACCAGCCCTCTGCCATAGGGTGGGTATTCGGGAAAATCTCAGTAAAGAGAAGGAAATAGATGTAGCAACATCAGACATTATGATCCGATTGTTGCATCACCCTCCTGACATTTATAAGACCCCACTTAGTGCCTGGAATAAAGTTAGCGCGTGCAAATGGGATCTTATCGTCGAACTTTTGTCTCTGCGCACCTGAGTGGGAAGTCGTGGACTAGAAGCGGCAGCCAAGGCAGCCTTTCCAACCGACTGTGAGCGAGGCAAGACTCTGCTCATCATTAGGTTGAAGCAACCCATGGCCTAATACTCCACTTCCGCGCGTTGACGATTATTCGGAAGCCGCCATTGGCAGGCATGTGCAAGTGCATAGACGGTCATCTCACTCGCTCGCCACCCGCGCGCCTGGCCTGATTTACATTCCTGATGCATCGCCGCAGTCGCGATCTCCCTGGCGCCACCTCTCTTTACAAAAAAATACTCCCCTAACAGATCCGCCTTCTACCAGATACCTGCAGCTCATTTTTCTGATAACACGTCACGGCTCTCATCAAATCTCTTACTAAGAAAATATAATTCTCCAATTAATCTAATATTAATACCACGTATTGACAAAGGAAATCAGTATATGATCACGAGCATGCTCTAATCAACAATGGAATTGCACATCCTTTCGATTTCAACGGGCATATGGTTCACCTTGAATCCCGTTCACGTCGTTCTTTCTGAATTTAAAGATCAGCAGATGGGCGAAGGAAAAATACCTGCGAAAAAGAGGAATTCAAAGGCATTGGGTACGAATGCAGGAGGCGGGCGGTTGCCACCAACGTCATTGGTGCAAGAACTGAGTAGGGTGTGGCGGAACGTTCTCATGCAGCCCTTCCACCAATGACACCGGCAACAACCCTAACAACCAATGACACTGCCTCCAGCAATCACGCCCACTGCCTCTGAACAAATCGAGGGTAGAACAACAGCAAATGAACAAACCGCTCTTTCTCGTTCCCTGTCACGATCACGTCGATCCAAACGTATACGCTCCTTATCTCTTTCACGATCTTTATCATCCTTTGTCTTATCCTTCTTTTCATCTTTGTCTTTGATCATATCAATTATATCTGGGCTAAATACAACAGGAATAAAAACAACAGCAGTAAACAGTAAACAACATCAACAACAGTTTCTATGACTATTTTATCTACCTGATATTCTTTTGCTGATGAGTAGACAATGTAGGGAGGAACTCTTTGAGCGCAGACAATGTCTCAGCTCGATTACTGTGGCTGAGGAACTCTTCAAATTCCTCCATATTGAACTTTGTCAAGATTGCCTGTGAAAACTTTGTTACTTGACAGCAATAATTTCAAAAAATATGGGGAGTGTGGTAGGGAACTCCTATAATTATAAGGGGGATAAGGATCTTCGACAACTTATGGGGTAGGACTGAACCATAAAGCACCCAGTATTGAAGTTCCAAGCCACATTTTCCTCTACATCAAGGCATGGGTATTGGGTTCAAGTATGAAGGTTCTGTAGGCTTCCTTTGATCCACAGCGAAAAAAAAAGAAGAAAACGACGAAAAGACCCTAGACAAGGTTCTTTTGTTAGGCAATAGAACCGAAATGCCTGGTCGTCAGAGACGCCGAGGTCAAAAAGCGAACACAACAGCGACGCGAGTGGGCAGCGAGAACTCCTACCCGCATAGTTAGGTGGGATCACCAATGCCAACTTCGCTAAATGTGGAATGGATGTCCACTCCCACTGGGGTGGAACTTCCGACATGGAGCAACCCTAGCGCACAGGGATTTCACCGCCCAGGTTGCTGCGAATGTCTTTTGAAGCAGATTGGCGAGCGAAATGGTTCCTACTTAGCTAACTGCCCAGTAGGTCGCTGCATAGGCGGGGAATTGCAAAGACCCGAGTGAACCGGTCAAAAATCCTGAAGAAAAAGCTCGTTCTCAGTGACTTGTAAATCGATTTCGGACGAGTTTCCCGTAGGCATCTTACCAATCACCGCTACCGAAGATACGGCTGCATATGTGTACCCATGTATGCATGCAGCATCACGGCCGCTTCATACCAATCCCTTCGCTTCATAACTTTGCAAATGGATCAATATAGAGGGCCTGGAGCAGTCGTCCATTTGTGGGCGGCGGGGTTCGGGCGTTCAGGCAGCGTAAAGTTGTGGCTTGATAGGGCCCTTATAAGGGCACCTTCCTCGAGGAAACAGCTATGCAGCGCTTGCCCAGGGTCGCGGAAGTCTATCCTGCCAGGAACATTGATCGTGTCGTCGATTTTATCGCTAACTGCCTTTAATATGACTTATCTAGGAACAGTTCTGTAGTTATCGTCCACATCGACGGACAAAAATAGGCGTTCCGACGAAGGCTGCATGCTCGCGCCGACCCTCTCTTTCTTCCTGCCCCGCCCTTTTACCCTCGCCGCCCTCGTAACTCCGCCTCTTGTTGCTCTCAGATATGAGCCATAAGTCCTGCATTGTACTGCACCAGGGAAATAAATCCTGCATTGTACTGCATCAGGGAAATTATTTATTTATAATGGTAGAGGAGGATCGCATGGAGAAACCTTTACGAATAATGCTAAAGGACATTTACGTACCGAATAGGCCACCGTTTTGAGATTGTTGAGGGCTCGATAAAATGCCTTTTTCGTGATTTCGTCACGGGATGAGAGATCCTTGGCGATTACCTTCTGCACAATGTTCCCAAGAAAGCTGTCCAACGACGGATACTGTAATGCGCAGCTTATTATAATTAAAATAAATGTCGACAAAGCTTAGCAATACTAATGCTACGTGCAAATGTATTACTTCTTACCTTTTTATACACAATCACTAAGGTGCAGTAAAAAAGAGCAGGAAGGGGGTTTAAATCCATCAATCGCTCAATACCATCTGCTACTGTCTCTCTAGTCATTGCACGTGCATCCATCAATTCCCGTAAATCTGGAAAATTACTCGATATTCGCTACAGTGAGTCTATTGGAACAGTTACTATCATGAACCCACTCGCAGACTGTACTTCAAACTCCTCAGGAGTTGACGGCTGAACCTTGTGGTACTCATAGATGAGATCTGGTATACTTAGCGTTGGTTCACCAGTGTCCATGTCTGAAATTCAATGAGATCGATGAAAATTGGCCCAAGAGCCTCTTGAAAATATTTCGAATTTTCCAAATCCCTATTCAATAGTGAAGTCAATCAACAGTATCAGCCTGAGTTGCCTTTCTATGATTTCATCATTTGATTGACCATCAAATCTGACTGAATGACTATTATTCTTTTCTCTTCAAGGCCAGCGGCACCTTGACTAGAGGCAGGTGGTTACGACTGGAAAGGCTGAGAGGGGTGTGGCCAAACTCGCTCTCGCAGCCCTTCCCCGAATGACGTCGGAA